GGAGGGGAAATAGATTTCCACTGAATTACATTTTAGTGTGAGTTCTGCCCAGAATAGAACTGGAGTAAGAATGTGGTATAGTCTTAGGTACATATATACAATGAAAGTATAGTCTCAAGTACATATATAACATGAAATAACATGACTCAGCCATAAAAAAAATGGAATACCGCCATTTGCAACTACATGATGGATCTCGAGAATACCATGCTAAGTGAAATAAGTAAGACAGAAGAACCATATATGATCCCACTCATATGGGGCAGATAAAACTGAAAGCAACAAATGAACAACAAGAAAAACAAAAATAGCCCTCGCCAGTTTGGCTCACTGGATAGAGCCTCAGCCTGCGACCAAAGGGTCCCAGGTTCGATTCCGGTCAAGGGCATGCACCTTGGTTGCAGGCACATCCCCAGTAGGTGGTGTGCAGGAGGCAGCTGATCGATGTTTCTCTCTTGTCAATGTTTCTGACTCTCTATCCCTCTCTCTTCTTATCTGTAAAAAAATCAATAAAATATATTAAAAAAAAGTTTTCCCCCTACATTTATTAAAGCTGCGGGGAGTGAAACAAAGAAGGGCTTAGAATAGAAGAAGCAACAGTGGAGAGCCTAGGCAGGGCTGCTTTGACTCACTAAAAAGTTAAAGAAAAGGGATCTTGGAGACAGCTGCAGTGAGGTCACTTGGGATGAACTGGTGCTGTCCTTTGCAACCCTGGTTTCAATGAGTTTAGAGTTTAGGGGATGCACGCCTGTGGAGGAAGAAGAGGGAGAAGGGAAAGGTGCAAGCATGCTCCAGGGAGGGAGAGCATGCCTGTAAACTTGTTTCTGTATCACTATCTTATACTGTTCCCCAACCATAAATGTAATAGGCTCTCAGTGTAATGAAAATGTTTAGAATATGGGTGGGTGATTTCCTTCCTTCCTTTTCTCCCTTCCTCCCTCCCTCCCTTTCTCCCTTCCTCCCGTTCTTCTTTCTTTCCAGGTTGTGGTTCTTGCCTGCAAGGAATCTATAGTTAAATTCAATAGAAAAGTTAACAGATAGTAAAAAACAAAGAACAATGAAAGGTTAACTGAGGTTAAGATTCTAAGTAAAATGGAAGTCTGGAAAGGAAGCATCTGAGGGCTACACTTCGGGAGTAAGCATCATGGAAGAGATGTTGACCAAGAACACCCTAGGTGGGTTAGGGATCAAAAGACCCCTTGGAAGCATTCAGAGTGGAGAAGGGATGGGCCATATGACTCTCAGCTTGTTTCTTGTGCAAGCAGAGTAATTGTCACCTTCCCCACTGGCTGCTTCTGTAGGTCATCTCAGAGCCTTGTGGAATTAGGTTCCTTTGAAAAGGTTCTAAATGAGGCAGAAACCCTGAAACAAGAGGATAAATAATCTACCATCTTACGGAAGTAATTAGCTGAAAGTCATCTAGCACAAAATACCCCCCACCTAGTAAAATATCCACAAAAATCTACAGGGATCCTCTCCTTAGATTATCATTATGGATCCTCAGCAGGAGTACTTCAGTACAAGGGTATTAAAGGATTTGTGGAACCTCTGATGTGTTATTTTACATTACCTTCTCTCTTTTGAAAGCATTTCTTGTTTTAGGTAGCATTTATTTCTTCTTACCCCAGAAATGGTTTCGCTTTGAAGGATCAGTGGAGGGAAGGTCTGATGATGTTCCAAGGGCAACGATGTGAATATAGGCAACAACCTACATAGAACTATTATGATCAATGAAAAAACTAGTCCAACTGGAAAGAATTCTTGTTGGGGAGCAGAGCTCAGAATAGATTAGAAAGCCCAGAAACAGACTTGGGTTTTAGTGGGAAAGGATAGTGTTTAGGACAAATGTCTAACCATTAAAAAAAATAATTCTGTCACCTTCTAGCAAAATAAATTCTAGATGGATTAAATATTTTTATATAAAAAAACTAAGTAATAAGTATACTAGAAAATTGTTTCTTAGGGCACCAACGACAGAAACTATAAAGGAAAAAGTGTGATAGATTATCTAAAAAAATTGCAACAGACACCATAAACAAAATAAAAAGCAGATGACAAACTGGTTACAATTGATTTGAGAGTGAGAGCGAGAGCGAGAGAGAGAGAGAGAGAGATTTCTACTTATTTTTAAATTGATTTGAGAGAGAGAGAGAGAGAGAGAGAGAGAGAGAAACATTGATGTTCCACTTACTTTGCATTTATTAGTTGCCTCTTGTATGGGCCCTGAACAGGGGTCAAACATGAAATCTTGGCGTACTTAAGGACGCTCTACTAACTAAGTCCCTTGGCCAGGGCACAAAGAGTTTTCAATATGTCTTTAAGTTGAAATGCCTTTGAGTTGAAATGTCTCCAACATGTCTTTAAGCCACCTACAAATCAATAGGAAAAACACAAAAAGGAAATAGGCCAAAGTCATAGGAGAATAAATACAAATGACCAATAAAGCTTATAGAAAAGGCTGTTTTAACCCCGCTGGTGTGGCACAGTGGTTGAGCATTGACCCATGAACCAAGAGATCATGGTTCAATTCCCAGTCAGGGCCCTGGTTTTCAGGCTTGATTCCCAGTAGGGGGAGTGTGAAAGGCAGCCAATTGATGATTCTCTTTCATCATTGATGTTTCTATTCCTCTCTCCCTCTCCTTTCCTCTCTCTGAAATCAATAAAAACATATTTTTTTTTTTAAAAAAAGGGGCTTATAAACAGAAAACAAAAACACAAAAAAAGAAAAAAGTTGTTTCACTTATCCAGAAAAGGCAAACAGAAATGAGATATCATGTTTCAACTGTTAGACTGACACATATTAAACAAAATATTTATTGCTGCTGAGGGCTTGAGGAAACAGGAACTCATACTGTGTTGCTAGGGATATAAATGAATACAGTCTCTCTGAAGTTCAGTTTGTCAATATGTATCAAATTTAAAGTGCATACACTGTTAAACCAGCAATTTTACTTCTAGGTATTTATCCCAAGATATATGTGTGAGGATATTTATTACTATATGTTACTATAGAGTTTCTAATAAAATGGCCATTGATAGGGTCAAATAAATTGTGGTATGTCTATACAATGATAAATGAAATAGATCTATAGTATATACATGAGAGAAATAGCATATGAACCTGTTTCAATTGAAATATTTATTTAAAAATTCGTGCAACACATTGTTAACAGAAATTATCTTTTCTGATTCAGAAAAGAAAAAGCCACTTAAAAAAATAGGAAATAGATTCTGACTTGACTGTGGTTGGTGGTGGGTAGGTTAAAACCAGATTGGTGGAGTAGGTAATGAATAGTGGTGATAAAAGCAGTGTTTATGGAAGGATTTATGGTGTGAATGTATGACATGAATGAAGTGAAAAATGCAATTAGATA